TTGATGTAGCAGCCAAGTGTGGGCAAAAGCCCTTGTAGCCATGGCCTCCAGCAGCTGCCCCACAATTTTTCAGAGTAGTAAAACCTATTCAGAGCCAATGATGAAATCAGAATAATATTATCACAGACAAACGATTGGCCCATTAATGGGAGAAAGTGGCAAGAAGGTGACAAGCAACAGGGAGAAAGCAGAATTGCTTAACTTGTTTTTTGCATCAGTCTTTACACAAAAGGAAAAAACTGTCCAACCTATCAAAAACAGTATTGTAAAAAACAGATTAGGAATACAAGTTGAAATAGGCAAGAAAATGGTAAGTGAGCACCTATTCACTAGACAGGGATTCCCAACTGGGGGTGTGAGATGATATTACAGGGGTGTGTGAAAACTTGGGTTTAGAAATCTCAAAATTATAGTGTATATGCATAATTCGTTGTCGTTATTTTGAACTTTTGTAAGGGGTGCGAGAATATATCAGAAGCGTTCTAGGGGTGCTGGATATAGAAAAGGTTGGGAACCACTGCCCTAGACGAATTCAAATCACCAGGACCAGATGGATTACACTGAAGGAACTGGCAGATGTGATCTCAGAACCACTAAACTATTTCTTTCAAAGATCCTGTAGCCCCCCCGCTGGGAACTATCAGAGCTGATGTAGTTCCCATCTTAAAAAAAAAAAAAAAACAGATCCAGAAAACTACAGACCTATCAGCCTGACCTCAATACCTAGAAAGATTCTGGAAAAGATAATCAAGCAACAAATCATAGAGGCAAACAAAGTAATAACCAAAAGCCAACATGGGTTTATCAAAAACAGATCATGTCAGACAAATCTTATTGCATTCTTTGACAAAGTGACAAATTAGTAGGCCAGAGGACTGCTGTGGATATAATTTATTTGGACTTCAGTAAGGCATTTGATAAAGTAGATCACAACCTACTACTTGATAAGATAGAAAAATGTGGGTTAAACAGCATCACCACCAGATGGATTCATAACTGGCTGATCAACCAAACTCAATGTGCAGTCCTCAATGAAACTGCATCTACATGGAGGGAATATGTAGTGAGGTACCCCAAGGCTGTTTTAGGCCCAGTACTCTTCAGCATCTTTATCAATGATTTGGATGAGTAGATGGGGAACTCATCAAATTTGCAGACAACACCAAGCTTGCAGGAATAGTCAACACCCCAGAAGATAGGCTTAAGATGCAGAAGGATCCTGACAGATTTGAACATTGGGCGCTATCTAACAAAATAAAATTCAATGGTAAAAAAAGTAAGGTTATACATTTAGGCAAGAAAAAACAAATGCGCACACCAATTTTGAAGCTACTCTCCTTCCCTCCGGTCCACGTGCCAGGAAAAGTTGGAGACCTCTGGTATAGGGTTTTGTGCCTGAGCAAGGGGTTGGACTGGAAGACCTCCAAGGTCCCGTTCAACTCTGTTATTCTATTCTATTCTATTCTATTCTATTCTATTCTATTCTATTCTATTCTATTCTATTCTATTCTATTCTATTCTATTCTATTCTATTCTCCTCTCCTCTAAATGACAACTTTTTCTTAAGGGCATTTGACTTCATTTTGACCCATCCAGATCTGCAAAGGTCATACCTGACCCCACTAGAGCATAAGTGTCAGAACTATGTCAGTATCCTGAACTTAATCTGGTGTATTGACATTCTAATGATTCTTAATTTCAAACTGATGGATGACATTTTCCAAGAATTGCATAAATAGTATTAAATCACATGATAGAGGCAAGTAAATAATGCAACTATGCATTTGGGTTCTCTGGTAATTTTAAGATAGATGATATCTAGGTGGGATGGTTTATTTGTTTTAAGTATTATGGAAATATTTTATTTTCTTACCTTTTCCTTTTTTCATTATTTAATGTTTCTTCTCTTGGTCAAATGTAACTATTTTGGATGTTCTACTTACAATAGAATCAGTTCAGTGATTGTTAGAGTTGCATAAGTTCCTGGAATTATTTAGGTTTAATGTCATCTCAGACCCACTGTTAAGTTGAGGATAGAGGAAGAGATAAGCAAGCCATGCAGAGGCTTCAAATTCTCAAGTAAATACAACTAGTAGCATCTATGGGTATTTAACAGGAGGAGGAAGTACATGAAAACACCTGTCAGGATGAGGGTTCTGGTTGAGAATTATGTAAGAACATAATCTTCAATTCTGAAATTTAAGTTTGAAATTGATTGTTTCTAAAGCAATAACCTATACATCTCCTTAAACTGAGGAAAGTTATTAATCATTTGGTGGTGACTTTGGTGACTGTAAATTGAGGTTTTAAAAAATACCAGCAGGCCATACAAGGCAGCTTGGCAGGCTGCATGTTGTGCAAGCCTGTTCCTAGATAATTGGTTCTATTAAGTATACCCGAATTTAATTTCTTCCAACAGTCAGCTGAAATATTTTCATTTCAATGTCTCAATCTTAGAGAAGATACTATAACCTCTTTTCTCCTTTGAAAATAAGTATGGAACTTGAGCTAGTATCTGAACTTGAAATAGAGAACAGTGTCCTGAATATGCTGGTGCCTCTGAATTGGTGTGGATTCCTGGGGCCTGCCTGGATTAGTCCCTATGGTTTTCTTGGCAAGATTTCAGAAATGAATTCCCATTGCCTCCTTCCTAGGCTGGGAGTGATTGGTTTTGTGCCTAAGATGGGATCTAATAATGGCAGTATTCAACCCTTATATAATAAGTAATTTGTATCAGTTAAGAAAGGGTTAATGAAACAAAGTCTTCAATAGTCAGCAGTACAGAAATAGTGTAAATAAATAATAAACCATAGAGAATAGTACTAAGATTACAAATACAACACAAATATTTTTAATATACATCACAACAATAATGACTAAAGTATCTATTTTGTAAAAATCTAGTGTCTTAATTAAGCAAGCAAAATATGGCCACAAACTGCAACCAAGTTAATTATTTGATAGGCTGATGAACTACTGTTACAAATGTCAGACAATGCGGACAATAAATATGAAGTGACCCATGTACAGGCTCAACTTTGTAGACATCATTTATGATTTCTAAAAAGTAATTACTGTAGAATGCTCAGCAATATTAGTATTTAGCAGACTTTATGAAAAAATTCATACATATTTTCACTGAACTTGGAATAGAAATTGGAAATTGAAACTGCTTATAGTGTGAGCTTCTCATCCAGAAACTCCCACTGTGATTAGGTTTTTGAAAGATTTACAACTCTGTGTTTATCTTGGTTAAAAAAGGGCTAATGAAACAAAGTCTTCAACAGTCAGCAGTACAGAAATAGTGTAAATAAATAATAAAAATAGAGAAGAATGGTACTAAGATTACAAATACAACACAAATATTTTTAATATATATCACAACAATATTGATTAAAGCATTTATTTCGTAGTGTCTTGATTAAGCAAGCTAAAAATGGCCGCAAACTGCAACTAAGTTAATTATTTGATAGGCTGATGAACTGTTACAAGTAGCATCAATTATATCAGGGGTAGGCAACCTTGGCTCTTTTATGACTCGTGGACGGTTGCTCTTTTATGACTTGTGGACTTCAACTCCCAGAATTCCTGAGCCAGCCATGCTGAGGGAACAGGGAGAGGTTTCCAAGCTGAGCCATGCTGGCTCAGGAATTCTGGGAGTTGAAATCCATGAGTCATAAAAGAGCCAAGGTTGCCTATCCCTGAATTATATCATCCATTTAGAGCACTTATGTTCCTAAGTGAGAAATTTGTTAAGTGAGTTACAACTTTTCTTGCCACATTTGTTAAGTGAATCACTGCAGTTGTTAAATTAGCAACATGGTTTTTAAGTGAATCTGGTTTCCCCATTGACTTTGCTTGTCAGAAGGTCACAAAAGGGGATCACATGATTTTGGGACACTGCAACCATCATAAATGTGAGTCAGTTGCCAAGCCTCTGAATTTTGACCATGTGACCATGGGGATGCTGCAACAGTTGTGTGAAAAATGGTCACAAGTCACTTTTTTTAGTGCCATTGTTAACTTCAAACAGTCACTAAATGAACTGTTGTAAGTCAAGGACTACCTGTATTCAACTATGACCCATTAAGTATTGGTTAAGTGTCCACTGATGCTGAAAAATACTGTATGAATATGAATTGTCATGTTATCTATCTTTCAGTATCTTTTTTGTTTGAGGGAAATTAGTTTTAAAATTAAAACTAGAAGGAAGAGGTGAATTATGTATTCCTATACCATTATCTCTGTATGTAGATATTTTCACCTATAACATATAACATATGTTATCAGAGAACTCCAATACAAAAATCTGGTGACAGATGATAATTTCCCCTCCAAGAGCCCCCCCCATAAATTTGTGGCAGGCGGGTTTAGGTTTACAGAGATTTTTGAAGTCATAAATATTGTTGCTTGCCCGTCCTGCAAAGGTTGCTGAAGCAAAATTAATGAAGGACGTGTACTGATTTCTCATTCGTGATTGAGAAGCGGTTCTTAAATCTGACACCAGACAGAGCAACTTATTTTCCTAATTCCTGCTTCGGAGAGCGAGCCTCGAGAGGTCTGAGCCGCCTAGTAGGCTCTCGGTCACTTTTCTTAATCCGAAACAGCATTCCTACTGAGGCGCGCCAACATGACAGGTCCCTTTTCGACAGGTATTCTCCCATCACGCAGATTGCGCTCTTCCCACCCGCCCGGCTGCCTTTCATCTTCGCCTTGCTATACCAATACGCGTCGGTCAGCAGCTCCGACGCCTCCCGCCTCCCTCTCTCATTCATGCCTTCACCTCCCTCTCCGTCCCTCCCGTCGCCCGCGAGCCCGCCGCGCTCTCGCTCTGTCTGGCAGCCCCCACCTTTTCCCTGCTTGCTCCGTCTGGCAGACCCCCCGCTCCATTCCGCACGCTGGCGCTTCTCGCGAGATCTGGGGGATGCCGACGTTACTGTTGCTGCTGCCACTGCCGCCGCCTTGGAGGGGGAGACACGGGGGGGGGGAGAGCCAGTGACGTCGGGAGTTTTCCTCAAAGTCAATAACGAACCTGGCGAAGGAGGCGGCAGGAACCGAGCCGAGCGCTGGGCCCCGGGCCGCTCCGGGTGAATTCAATTGGTAACAGCCGCCGCCGCTCCTAACTCCCTGGATGCTGCGGCCGAGCTGCCCAGGCGGGCGCCTCCCTAAATAGCGGAGAGCCACTATCGATGTAGCCGCCGCCCCGCTTGCATCTCTCAGGGCGCCGCTAGCTGGAGTCGAAACCTTCGCAACCACACCAAGGTAGACCGCAGCCGTGAAGGACTCTCACCCCGGCAGGGGGGACAAGGGAGGAGAGGTCGTGGGCGCCCCCCTGCCCGGAGACCCGGTTCCACGCCAACGGCCGGCACCCGCCACCCTCGCCTTTTGCTGCAGGTAGGCAGCCTCGCGACCGCGCTGACAGGCGGGGGAGGGGGTCTCGCGCGCGCTGGGAAGACGGGCGGCGGGGGAGGCTGGCTGGGTGCTGGTAGCTCTGGGGGCACGTGAGGCGAGGGAGGGGCAGGTGGGGAAGCCTCGCATCTCCGGCGACTGCTCCGTCTCCTTCTTCCCGGTCCCTGTGGCCCAACGCGGCGTTCCCCCTCGTCCGCCGCCATCCTAAACGTGCCTTGTGACAGAGGGGGGAGGCGGCGGCGGCGGCGGCGGCTCTTGCCTCGTTTTCGCAGCTCCTCCTCTTCCTCCTCCTCTTCAACCAGCGCATGCAGCAGCTGAGACTTAAAATACAAGTCCTCTTCTGGTGTGTCCGGTTGGCGGGGCCTATCGGGCTTCTTGTGGCGGCAGAAGGGTTATGTAACATTAATATCTCGTGGAGGGGGGGGGGAAGGAGGGAGAAGGTGTGTGCTGGCCACGAGGCACATCATAACAACACTCGCGCGCGCAACCCACCCCATGATTTGTATGGAATGTTGCTGAAATGCTATTGTATCTGAAATGCTGTTGAGATGGATGGCGCATTACAGTTACACGTTTCGCTTCTCTCATATGCCCAACCGCGACATCCAACCTCTCTCTCTTAGGAAACTCCTTGGTCACTGTGCTTCCTCCTTATATGTTCTTATCTCGTCTTACATTCTGTTCTTGGGCGTAAATGAATGTAAAATGCGCTTAATGAAGTATCCTTTCTATTTTTCTGTTGCAACAAACCTGCGTTCTAATAACAGAGACAGCAAAAGAGACCCTGCTCTTTCTTGCAGAAGTCTGCTGATGCAAGTAAACAAAGCTTGCTTGTTTACATCACGTCTGCTGGACAGCCATGGTTACTGCTTTGCATTTATAGGCATTGATGTACATTATTACTTGTCTAATGTTGCTTTCCTTCAATTTATGTAGCCCATGATTCAAAGAAATTAGTACATTCAACACAGTCTGAAAATTTCAATGCAGTCTTTTCCAGTATTGTATGTGGGATCCCCCCCCAGTTAATCAGCCACATCAGTTAAAATATCATGGCATTCTATTCAAATAATTTAGTGTTTCCTTCACAGAAATTTAATTATTTTATTTATACATCATAACTGATGTATCAACTAACGTATAATTATCACAATGTTGACATATAGGATTGATGAAATAGCATGAAACATTTTTGTTGCCTCAGCTTAAAAGTTCCATTTTTTTAAAAAGAAAGAACTATTGTATTTAAAATCATACAAAGTTATACAAGTTTTGATGAGGTAAAGTAGGAAATTAAACATTTTTTATATTTCACAAATAGGAGCAAACACATAAAAGAGTAAACAAAATAACGAACTCCGAGGACTAAATTAAATTTACAAATTCCTATTAGAATTTAAGCAGAGTGCTTTATGAACTTTTAATATGGATTAGCTTTTTTTCTTCCCTAGTAGGAATTAACATAAAATACTATATTATATAAAAGGAGCTACAATTTCAAATGTACATTTTTAGTAAATATTTTCCAGATACATTTCTTCTGTCTTTGCCTCTCTCTCTCTCTCTTTTTTTTTTTTGCTTGTAGAAAGTGTATTCTCCTTTGGATAAATCAATTTTCCTCCAAAAATCCTAACTGAAATTCTCATATTTCTATTTACTCTCAGTGGGTTTAAATTGATCCCAGTGTCTTTCATTGGATTGTACTTATGTGTGTATCTGTTAGCTGGACAAGATAAAGATGTTTGCTCAGAAGAGGCATTTGCATATTTTATAGCAACAATATCGACAATTCTTTTCTATGTGTGGTTAATGAATTTGTTTTAGATTTTTTTTTCCTTGTTTTGCTGTGGATAGTTATTTTTAATGTTTGTTTTTACATTATTTTAACTTCTACAAATTATTCTAGAAGCTGTTATTATATAGTAATTATTGTGCATGTGAAATATAAATTGATTTTTCATGGATTTTCTATTCACAGTGAAACAGAGTTTTGCTATATAGAAGTTTATTTGGAAAGAAATATCACTGATTTTCCTAGCCTACAAATAAAGTGTGCTTTGAATTGGAATCAGATATAGGGTTTTATCTGATTTTAATTTAAAGAATACCACTTAAACATACTATTTTATCTTTTTATACAAACAGCTCATTGAGAGTGGAAGATAGGAGATAAGTTCTTCTGAGTTAAAAGAGATTTATTTCCATCTAAAAATACATATGATTAATGTCTTAATATGTTATTCTAGATAGATAGAATACTTGTGTTTCCACTGAAGGAACTGGATGTATAAATACAAAAGGGAGAGACAATTTGTCCTTGTAACCCATTGCAGATTCTCAAAATCTCCTACTATATGATATTTAGAGGAGGAACCCTCAAAAATAAACTTTGGGAAGCATGGAAAAAGAGAAATCTTATTGTATGAATAGATCTTTATATATGTATTTTGGCTTCACTCACTTTTTCTACCTGAAAGTAGTAATTATGCAAATGAAAGTCTAAATTTTTGAAAATGTTTTAGCAATTCAAGTCAGTTGTGATGAGAATATGATTATATGACAAACTTTGCAAAATGGTTTAATATAAAATGAACAGGTATAGCTGTATAAAAATAGAGCTATAATGGCAGTTGGGACACAGGCTATTGTTCCCAGCTCAGTTCACTCCCAATGTAGCCTATTTAAATTTGTTTACTTAGATATTTATGTCCTACTGAAATAAGTGGGATTTACTACACAGAAGTCTGATTAAGCTTACAGTAGATGGCAGCACCTAACAGCTCTTGGTTGATCTTGAAAAGCTGAGCAGGGTCAAACTAGGTTGGTAGTAGGATGAAACACCATTGGGAAATCTCAGGATATACCCGTAGCAAAGACTAAAATATTGAAAAAAGTCCCATAAGAAAGCAGGGACAAACTGCTTTCATGCTTTTGCAACTATACTATGTAGACACATGCAAATAATTACCAAGGCATTGACTTCAACTTGAGCCAGACTTTTTCAAAGTCTGATTAAATTTGGACTGGAGGCTTTTAAGAACAAGAATAAATTCTTTAGCCTGCAGCTGCAGTACAATTTAGAATTAAGTGGCATAGTTAAAAATAAAGAATTAAAGTTTGGTATATTTTTCTTTAAATGGAGGCCCTAAAATAATCTTTATAACTCATTTATGAAAATAGGGCTGTTTTATTCAAATGTTATGCTGGAAGTTATCTCTGTAGCATTTGTTAAGGCTTCTATACTTAGTGTTGTTATGATCTATAGTTAACAGATAAGAAAACTATACTAATAGTTTTGAAAATTGGGAATTGCTTTTAATCACCCTGTTTATTACAAAATATTGAATATTGTCTACATTTTGTACAGTGCTACAGTGTGCTAGTGAAAAGCTGGGAAAGATTGAATACATAATGAATATTGAGTAATTGAGCAACTTCTTAAATGGTTTAATTTCTATTATGAATAAAAATGAATTATTCTTTTTAAAGGTATATTTCCTACTAAGCGTTTTAAAACAAGATTTCAGAATTGCTTTTTTCTCTTTTACACTCTTCTTCAAAACAGTACAAAACCAAAACAGAAAACACTACATGTTAATTTGCTTGGGCTGACTATTAATTTAAGAAATTGTAAAGAAATCTTTTCTGTGCTCTTAAAAGACCATGTACATATCATAAACATCAGTTACATGCTTATAAAAACCTCTTACCACTACATTTGAACATAGCTTGTTTATGAATTAGATTGTGGTAAAAAAGTATCAACAGTATCCTAATTTTTGTTATGCAATGTTTCAATAAAATTGTCTTTCTTAGAAATTTGCCTGTGAGACTTAAGAAAGTTTTCCAACTAAAGCAGATGACATATAAAGTATGATTCGGTTTTGATATTGATGCTTACTTATATCTCAGTAAACATGTGAATGAGCAGCTAGTAAATTGTGTGTTGCCAATTGTATAGGATTACTTGGTGCCCTGATTCTGAGAGAAATAGATATTTTAGGAAATAGTTTCATTCTCCAGCATGACGAATGGAGAATCCACCGATGGGTTTTCCTCATCTTCTGCCCGTAGACTATTCGGCCAATTTTGCTCCGCCTCTCCTCTTGAGACCTCCCCTTCCCAGTCTCAACTAGTCTTGAGCCCTATTAGACTGAATTTCCTTGGTTCCCAAAACGAAATCTTGGATAAGGTCGTATTTTTCTGATATTTCTTGGATAATTCAGGGAGGGGGGAATCGTAAGAGAACGAACGGCTGTTTGTTCTCTGCTGCCTGATCGGCCGATCGCAGCACAGCCATGAGACTGGCTGGAGTCCAGTCGATCGCCGGACAGGACAAAGAGGCGGAGGCCATTTTCTGGCCACCACGTGTGATACTGGGAAAAAGGGAAATCATTCCTCCTCCTCCTTCCAATCCCCCCCACAAGGTTTGCATACTCACTGGGAGAGACAGACTAACCGAATCCTCTTTTCAGAACTTCCTAGCCCAGCTGATCCGCAAGTGATTAGACCTCCCGCGGCTTCTATGAAAGCCCGTGAGCCGTGGAGGGCTAATAGAGCACTTGCAGGCTCCCTCCTGAAACTAGCTTAATCGTCCGAAGATCAGCTGGTCCGTGGGAATCCTTTTAATCTCTGTGGCTCCCTCCTGAGTATCAGCTGATCCGCAGAGAGTTACAGCCTCCCGTGGCTTCCCTGCAGTTCCGTAGCTTACTTGCAGCTCCTCCGGACGGCAGAGAACTAAATTCCAAATTACCTTATTTGGCTCTGGCCTTAAGGTGTGAATGCACACAGAATGTTACAGCCTCCAGGGAACCCAGCTGAGCTGCAGAGACAGGCTAGATTGTGTTCGGTCACCAGCTACTGCTACGTGGCCCTGAAGCGAGGAGAGGTGGTTTTTCAGTCAGAACTCACCACTATTCAGGGCATCTGAATCAAACTTCCTTCCTTCCTCCTAGCCACGCCCATTTAAAAATTATATTAAATTG